CAAACTGATTTCATTTAGATTCTCTTTCTTTACACCACTTTTGTTATTAGATATCCCACACCATGATTTTTTTTTTTTATACAACAGTATATAGTGAATGCATTCTTCAGGCTTTTAATTTAAAATTTCATATATTCAAAAAGGGTTAAGCAACTGATGACATTCGTGTCCACATCCTGTTCCACAAAAACCCTACTATACCATATAGTAACAACTGTACCATTTAGCTAATAAAGTCACTGACATTCAAGCAAAATTTTTATCTATATAATCCTACTTATCATAAATCTTGCTAATACTTTCTCATCGTCACTTTGATAAACCCTCAATCTTCCTCCAATTTAAATGATTAAGTTTTCTTTTTTTTTTTTTTATAAAGATTATCAATTTAATACATCTCTGGACATCCTCAAACAAATCAAGTTCAAATTGCATGAATTCTGAACAAAAAAAAAGAAACGGGCTTTGACTATTTAAACTAGTATTCAGGGATGCCAAATTGAGCTACAGTATTGAATTATGCTATTTTTGAAAACTAGTACAATTTTGAATTGATTAGTAGCCCAACTTATTTTAGAAAGTAGCCATAAAAGTTGCAAATTTATTAGTATTAGACTTTAAAATATAGCCCAGTTTGGCAACCATGTCTACAAGAATGATTCCTAGAGTACACAAATATTTATTATGGAAAAAAAAAAAAGGGGGAGTAATTTATAAGACAAAATTTCTCCTCAATGTGTTAATTAAATTTTGATAATCTAAAAGCAAAATTTTCTAGATTACTTTACAAATAGTGAATTGTATTTCATTTAAAAGCCCAGTGCTATTGAATTTTGAATTGACTTTCTTCTGATTAGTAGTAGCCAAAGTTAGCCCAGGTTATTTAAAAAGAAAAAAAAGTTGTAAGTAGCAAAATACAAAATTTAGTAGTGCTGGGCCTACAAAATCATCCTAATTTGAAAAACCTGCTTGTGTCATATGCTATAGGAGATTGCCATACCATGAAGATGAAGATTTTGGTTAAAAAAAAAAAAAAAAAAAAAAAAAAAGAAAAGAAAATGCAAATTGTAAATATTTAATTTATTCAAAAAAAAATTTAGATATTTTCTTTGATATTGTCCTGTTATTTTGCATTTTAATAGACATTATAATTCAATTATTTACATTATTCAGACTATTGTCCTCATCTTTGTCGCCATATTTATCACAACATTTCGGTGCAGGTGGTTGGAATTTCGAACTGAACCCTTTATTTCGTTCACTGGGGTAGATTGTTCTAGTTCTGATGGATGAAAGTTCTCCACTGCCTTAACTGGGTATTGAATTCACACTGTTTGGGTCCTGTCACTGGATCTAACCAATGCCATTATCCACTGTGCCATGTGTCCTTGAGGACATCTGTGTATGAATTTCTGGGTATTATAAACCTAATGTCTTCAACAACCATTTTTACCAGTGCTCATATTGCAATTTTGCTGTTATCAATGCATGTTTTTACCAGAGCTCATATTGCAACTTTGTTATTGCTTTTCTCTGGCACTCCTTATTACTGGTTCCCATATTGTATTTATTTCTATGCTTGTTTGGCTCAGGAGATTTTTGTGGCCTAGCATATGTGCTGATTCCTTAAGCCTTGTCTATGATCTCAACCTGATCCCACAGAGGGCGGTGATCTCCCTTCTCTCTCCATATGTGGTCAGCCACACCTGATTTTTCTACTTCCCCTCGCATTACAGCTTTCTGGTGTTCTTGAAGCCTTACCTTGAGGGGTCGGCCTGTCTCTCCTTTATATTCCTTTCCGCAGCTGCACGGGATAGCAGTCTTTAGTCATGTTCTCCTCTATGGTGGGTCTCACTCGAGAGAGATATCCGCGAAGTGTCGTCAAGCTTTTGAAGGTTGTCCTGGTGTTATATGGACCGCAGATCCTTTGTATTTTCTCTGATAACCCCTTCACATAGTTAAATTTGAAAAATAAATAAGTAGCTTTATTTTTAAATTCTGAAGTTCTGCATTAGAACAAAATTTTGTTTTTCAAACTCTGGTTACACCTAGTCCAAGAATTTCAATTTTCTTTAGGTAAATACAGAAAATTTGCAATTTTTCTTGACCCATAGCAAGACACATAATGACACTAAGATGCAAGGAGAAACCAGGAGTGAAAGAGAATGAAAAGACTTTAGAATGAACAGGAGATCCAATCCTAAACAAGAAACAAGGGATAAACCTCTACTCCTGTTCAAAAGACTGGGGAGGAGAGTGAACTGGACGATTGGCAAAAAAAAGAGGAAAAAAAAGAGAAATCAAAATTTATTGACATTAGTTGAAATAAATAATATTCCTTTTTGGGTGGTATTTTACATTTCAGGACTTTATAGTTGGTAATTTAAGGACAAAATTGAAAAAGTATAAAGAAGAAAAACTTCTGTGTTATGAATTCCTTCCTTTGAGCCATAAAGCAGAGCTCATGTATAAATCTAATTTAAAATAATTTACGTGAGAT